CTAATCAGTAAAAGGGAGGAAAGCATCACACAAAATTATTTAATATAGAATGAATATTAACGATGCTTAATTCAGAAGTCCTTGAGGATGTATCCAATTCTACTATTGAGTAGCTTATTTATTCTTAGGACATATCTTAAATCTTAGAAGCTCAGTTTTCTCATCTATGAAATGAAGGTAGTACTCATCATAAAGCTTCATGAAATAACACATATCAATCACAGACATTGAGGAGATGTACACCCTCTTGTGCCTACCTCCCCTTCCAGGGTCTTGAAAATTATACTGTATCCACTCTACAATTAAGCCACTCTCATTCATTTATTCAGTATATACCTCTGGGAATTAGAGTGATGCCTTAGCATGGATTAATAAATCTCAATGCACATGTTGGCAAAATGAAGGGACTAATGAGGACATGAGATTCAGACTAGGGAAACAAGAATATTTAAAAATCAGCTACCTGTACACCTTTAACTTATATAGCCTGTTGTTGTTGCTTAGTCACTAACTCGTGTCCAAATATTTGGGACCCCTCAGACTGTAACCTGCAGGCTCCCCTGTCCATGAGGTTTCCCAGGCAAGAATGCTGGAGTGGGTTGCCATTTCATCCTCCAGGAGATTCTCCTGACCCAGGGATCAAACCCATGTCTCTTTGTCTCCCGCACTGCCGGCGGACTCTCTACAGCTGAGCCAATGGAGAAGCCCAGCTTACATAGTGCTACACAGCAACTACATCCAAACAAACCCGGGGGAAATGACACAAGGCCAGCCCGTGCATAACTTAACAAGAGAAATACAGGGGAGGGTGCAAGGACAGTGGCTAAGACTGTGAAATGCCTTATGCTAAATGTATAAACAGATAAGTAAAGACTTAAGTCTCTGCCCCACATTCAGGGTCAAAAGACACAGATTTATATCTGCCATTCAATTGAAAAAGTACCACTACAGAGACACTGAAAATCATGGAAGTATAGAGAAAGGAAAAAAAATAATTGCTTAAAAGACACAGGCAAGACTTCACAGAGGGAAATAAAATTTGAACAGGCAGAGAGAGGAAAAGGACATTTTTGGCAGAGGAAAAAAAAGGGATTTGATCTATGGAATTTGTCAAAGCATTCTGGGAAATCCTAAATCTTCTTGAACTTTTCTAAATACTATCTATACTAAAAATTCTTAAAGAAAAATTTGTATAAAAATGTTCTGAAAGACATACCACTGGCTATAATAAAAGCACCAACATTTTTGTTTTTCTCAAAGTTGTTTCAGAAAAATATAATTCTTTATATGAAATCTTAATATACAATATAAGTTTAATTTTGTTGCAAGTCAGTTGTACATATTGTATTTTTGGTCAGTTCTGATGGAACAGTAAAAACACCATTCCATTTCTTTTCCTCTCTCTTCAGAGTAATAGCCAATTCCATTTTATAATATTTTATATTTAAAGCATTCAGAAGTCAAATTGTGTGGCATTTTCTACCTTGCCAATTTCATGTTAACTCAATGGCATTTTACCAGGCTAAGAAACCCAAAATTAGACAAAGGCAATCCACTGGGATCAAAAATTTGCCAAATCTCATAATTCAAAAAGAAACTATTAAGGATGGTTTTGGACATTTTGGCACTGTGAGTTTAAGCCATTCAATAATAGGGTTTATATTTCATCTAATCAGCAAGTCGGAAACTATAAAAGTTCTATTGGTGGGGGGATTAGAATTTGAATTGTAATACATGTCTTTTCTTCCCTTCCTTCCATATGCTTCAGTAAATTAAAACTGCTAAATTTTGTTTTTAAAAACATCTTCTTAAAAATAAAGCAGCATGTAAAATCATAGTTTTAGTACAGGAAACTTAAAATATTTAGGCTTGAAACAAGAAGGAAAATTAAGGATACGTAGTTTCTATATACAAAGTTACGTCATAGTCTAGGTATATTCAGAATTAGGTACAGATAAGTTTTCAATGTTTTTCCTTTCCATGTGATTTTATTGGAGGAAAGATAAATCAGGCATTTGAAAATTTTATTTTTTAATGTGGTATTTTTTGAAGGTGGCCATTTATCAATCTAATTTAAAATGTTTCTATTTTAATTCCGTAAGAACATCTAAAGGCAGTAGTTGCGGCAAGAGATGTATATGAATTCTCTTCTTATTTGGAGCTGTGTGAATTACCATCCTATCAGAATAGGAAATGGAAAAGGTTTTCATAAGGTAAAACACATTTTTTTCTAACTGATTAGACTAGACATAGTATGATCTTGTAAACGGCCCAAACAGCAACTCATACCCTCCAATACTGAGTCATGTTCTTTCCCTTTCTCTGTTCCTTATTTTTTGGGGCCCCATATTAATTTCTTTCATAATTCTTTCTTTCACATATTTTATTTCATTTTTTTGTTTGTATATGAAAACATTTCCACATTTTTACTCTCCTACCCTTCAAATGAAAATTGTTTTGCCATCACTTTTTAATTTCTAAAAGCTCTCATTTTTTCATATTTATTTTTTTATGTCATCCTGCACTCCACAAAATGCTATATTACCATCTCAAATGATTTTTTCCTTCTGTTCCCCCATTTCCTTTTGTTAATCCATTTGTTTCAGCTCCAATCTTTTACATTTCAGGGTTTCCTAATACGAGAGACGATCTCTGATTGCCCGTTGTTATTTTACAAGTTGAGTTAATAAAAGCTGAATGAATTCTTCAGGCATAAACATGCTTTCTGGACTGGAAAGAGTCACTTTCGTATGTCTGGTTAGGGAGCTAGCCATTTTCAGAGATCTCCAAATGTAGGTATATGGAAATCTTTTCCCCAGAGTGATTCAGTTTCTCCAGATAAAAATGCTACCATTTCTTGGGAGGTGAGGTTTGTGTATATGTGTTGCTGGTTGGGGGTATCAACTCTTGTGTAGTTGTGTTCTGCATGTAATAGGGGACAGGTATTGACAGTCTGAGCACTCCACTGGAAAACATTTGATCAGTCCTCTTTTCATTCTGCTCTGCATTCCACCCTCGACTGGGCAAGCTGTTTGAGTGAGAGAGCTGTCTCATTCCACTGCCTCACCACCAAGAACATACCTTCCCTTGACTTGCAGTGAGTGCTTGGCTACTAGGGTTGTGCACAAGGGGAGAGACAACTGATTAGCCTATTTTATTCTCCTTAATGCACTCTCTTCTTTGTCAGCTACCACCAAGTCTTGAGTCTCTAGATTTCTTATTTTTATCCCATTCCAAACCTCCTTTAGACAGTGGTTTATTCTGTTTTGATGAATCAGTTGTAACACCTCTTTCTGCTACCTGAGTTCCAAAAATCAACTTAAATGTCACCTCCCCTCCCATTCTCACTGTTCCTATGAGGTTACTCCTTCTCAATATTTTATTCAGTAAAAGTTTATTCTGATTTACTCACACAATTAACATTTCTGTGCTCACCGTTCTTTTCAAAACCCACTCTGTAAATCTCCTTCTAGATTTAAATATGTCTTCTCAAAAGACATGTTTAGTATCATCTTCAGCTAGAGTTTTCAATGAACTAACTTTAATTTCCTGGCCTAGGAATTCCTTGCTCATTCAAGTAAAGTAAATTCAAAACCCAAACCCTAGTGAGGGGAGGACAGTGGTGACAAATTCTCTGCAAAGATTTCAGATTCCATGCTGAGACAGGCAAACTTTCATGCTGCCCTCTTTTACCAGTATGTGAACTTTTTCTACATTGTTCTTTCACAGAGGATATGAACTTTCCTACTTTATTGAGACACCTAATTCCTGGCCTTCTGTCTGTCCAAGACTTCACCTCTTATTCCATCAAGAAGGAAAGACAGACAATAAGCTCCTTCTCATGGGTTGTTAAGACGAGTAAATTATCCCATATCAACTCTAAGATCAGCCTACTGTTTACCATTCTGGTGTTCAGTTACTGCTTCATTTCTACCCTGGGGAAATTCTCTTCCTACTCTTTGAGCTGAGCCATGCATTAAGAGCATATCTGTTGTATTTTACTAAGCACACCTAGATGTGTTGTAGTGAGACGTTTTCTAGTTACTTAGTCTGCCTATATAATCTCTAAATAGCATTTCAGTGGTATCTTAGAATGGAAAGGTAATACTTGTAATTGTTTAGCTTATCACCTTCTATGGGAATTAACATTATTTTTAAACAATTATAAGATACCTTTCTATGAATTTACTTAGGAATTACTTTCCTGACCATTCTATGTTTTTGCTAATTTTGCTAATATTCACTTATTTTTAGTAACACTGGAGAGAAATTAAGGGATATGACTAAAATAACATAGACAATATATTTAGATTCAGACTGAAGGCTAGTTGTATCATTTATTAGTTGGTGAACTCAGAAAAGCTATCAAAATATTTTGAGCAATCTCTGACTGTAAAAAACAAAAAAACATTATTATTACTTTGAAGTACATAAAATTACAATTTTTGTAAGTCACAGTGGTTGACTATAAACAAGTCCTTATGCTTCCAATATTGCTTTCATAGAAATATGGCCAAGAGACTCATCACACAGTGGGTAGCCAAATTATGGGTGCACTTCTCTTACAGAATGACTTCTAGTTAATTGGAATTCTAGGTGACACTGATGGACACACATGCAATGTTTTATATAATACTTGCTTTTTGGAAAGAATCTAGTGTTATAGTCAATCTGGGGTTAACACTGGCTTACAGAACATAATCTTTATACAAATATTGTTATTTTGACAAGTTCATTATATAATCACAAATTTTGGGTTCTCCATTTATACATTTCAACTAAGTACATCAAGGATACACATCATACTTTATCTATGGCAAATCCCATAGCCAAAGGAACTCATTTTTCTATATTTTTTGTACATTGTTCTAATTTATTATGACCATCATTACATCCTAACAGTCTGGATTAACTGGCTAGGAACTGGTACCTCAGACCCTATCTACCTCAATCTGCACAGGAGAACCAATTTCTAAAGGGTGAGAGAGACAGTTACTCACTGTTAGAGCAAGCAGTTTCCCATAGGTAAGATGAGCAGGGATGTGGTCAGTCTTGGATCTCAGTGATTCCATATACCAATGCTCTGCTTCAGGGAGCATGCTTAATCGCATGTATGCTTCACCTGACAAGAGAATCAAAAGAAAAATCAATCTGATGATACAGTTTTCCAAGAACATTTGCAACAGCATCATATCACATGTTTATATTCCATATATTTTCAGATTCTGTGAGAAGTACTCTCATCCATTATCTCCTTTGATTCCCCTAAAGTCATCATTCTGTCGATTTCACAGATGAGAAAACTTATGTTTGGCAAAATTAAGTGAAATGCCTAAGTCAAAAATGTGGTATGCAGTAAAGCTTTGATTTTTTTTTAATCTAGAAATGTCTAACTCTCAATCATACGTGCTTTGTCACCATTTCATTTTTTAAGGTTGGGTCTTTCTTATCTACAATCATTTGTTCTTTTTTATTCATATTCATTCTTTCCTTTACAAACTCAAGTATTTATAGAATAACTACTAAGTGGAGAGTATCATGCAGGACCTAAACAACAAAAGTTCAAGGTCCTACCCACTAAAGTTGAAAACTCTGTTGAGAAAGTAATATTAAGGGAATTCTTTGGTGATCAAGTGGTTAGGACTCCATTCTTCCACTGCAACGGACACAGGTTCAATCCCTGCAGAAGCAATGGGACATGGGTTCGGTCCCTGGTCTGGGAACTGAGAGCCCATATGCAATGTGGCTGGGGGGCGGGGGGGAAAGGAACTAAAAATATTTGGGAAGAAGCATTGGTGCTAGATCTTAGTTTTTTCAGAAATTATTTGCATTTTATATTTTAATAAGTAAATTAAAATTTACCAGTTTCATTTGGAAAATACAATGAATATGTGACAGTTATTTAGCATGCCCACTACCAAGTACAAAGTGAGTCTAAGGCCTTTCAGCCATCAGCTATTATTTTCAACTTATATAAATTTTGCCCACCAAATAGCTTTTCATTAACAGCCAAACAAGAGAAAACAATCAGAAATAAGCCAAAAGTGTATCAGCTGCCATCTTATCACCAGCCGCCTCTCCTTTCTACACTTACAGTTTAAAGAATATTCCACTTGATAGGAAGATTAGATTGCAAGATGATTTGTGTATTTAAATTAAATATTATAGTTATATTAAACACTTCAAATGTAGAAACTACTCAATTTCTGAGACCAACCAACAAACTGGTGACCAGCATTATTTTTCAAGCAGATTTTTATAACAGTTTAATCATAATTGTGATAGCTCTTTCCATTCAGAGGAATAATCAGAGGCTTTTCCTAGATGTATCACCCACACTGGTTGTACATCTTTGCTTCAAAGAAAGAGCTAGCTTCCTTTTATTTTAATCAAATTCTCTTTACATTACCACAGTGTTGTCAATACAAATATGTTTGATGAATTGAATTGATCTGCATCTCCAGGCTTTTTGAGTGCCCTTTGCCTGTCCAGTTAGTAAAAATATTGGTGACAAATTACACGTAACATAAACAAAAATGTATGCACCACTCACCCATCTATGTTTTTCTAGTTCTGAAAACAGTCCTTAAACTATATTATCATAAAAATGATAGCTTGATTTTTTTTTCCCTAAAGCTTAAAACATGTTTCCATTTAAGAAGAATTTGGTTAGACATAATCAAGTGCTCAGGTTGAGATGCAAGAAGTACTGAAGCAAAGACCAAAGACTAGAATAAAATACACAAAATACGCATAGTTGTTAAGAGTGGTAGGATTAGGTACAGATTTTTTTTCATGTTTCTGTAATAATTATATTGTCTTATCATCATATCTTATAATAAGTAAAACACTGCCAGGCAATTTTCTTTTTGCAATGTTGAACTAATAAACATTTCCAAATAAGGCAAACAGTAATTTTTCTTGGGGAGAGTGAATCTTTTCTTTATACTAAATATTAGATATGATTTATACAAAAATGTAAAATCAAGTATTAAAAAATTTAAAGCAATTAATGATAACCAAAATTCAACTACCTCTGAAATGGATTTTAAAGCCAGTAGAAATTTCAGAGTCAGAGCTGAAAGATGGGTCTGCTTTATGAGGTTCTGTTTGGAATTAATCTGAAATTCTACTTATAGTCTTCAACTGCTCAGAGATCAACTTTTAGAAGTTGACAATCACTGCATTTAATATGGCTTCTACTTTTAGTTTATTTAAAAAAACGACAAATTTGTAGAACGGTAAGTTATCAGCACAGAGAAAGTACAGGGGAATCCTAAGTCCATGGTGCTTTTGAGATTTAAAATTTCATATTGAGGTGGTTGATGTTTGAAAATCATTTCAAAAAGCATACTCCTTCTTTTTTTTCTAAGTCAGAAATCTATCATTATTAAAACCCATTTTGAAATGAAATATTATTAATTTGATAACTATTTAACTTGACTTACTTTGTTCAGTAAGAACTCATAAGCAACGTGTTAAGTTATAAAGCTTGTGAGGTGGGAAAATATCAAAGGACCATAAATAAAAAATATAATGTAATAATGCATCTTGGCAAGTATATGAAAAATGTAAATAATCAGCCTGCTTAGGTTCTATCGATTACAACTCAGAAGAACTTCAAGTAATCATTTGTTGTATCTCAATAATAATGATGACAATAGCATTTATTGAATGTTTATTGTGAATTAGGGTAGCAAACCACAAGGGACAAACATCTGACTTACATGTACCCACTCCTCCCATTCTATACCTTCAGGTGCACAGCAGGTTTTCTCACTTAGCCCCACACAGCTCCTTAACACCTCACCCTCATTCAGCCAGTACCAACTAAGTTTTAGATCACGTTTGTGAGATGAAACATATTTTCAGTCTCTATATTAGTTGCTCTGTACCTCATTTTTTTAAATTAAGGAATGTCCTTAATTAACCTGGATTACAGATGAGAAAACTGAAAAGCAGAGTAGCTAAATTAAACACACAAAACCATAAATGTAGAAAGCTGCAGTTCAAACACAGGACGGCCTGATCTCAGTGCGTTGCTCATCTGCTGGTAGTGAACAATCATGAGCTTTCCAAGTGTCCAGCTCAGGTGAAAATTATACTTTGTCTCACTCATGGGAAACTGTTTTCTAGCTTGTGATACACAGGCCATCAAGTTCATTTCACTTTGCCTTGAGCTTATCTATCAAATTAAAGGAGTAAGAAAGAGCAACAATAATCCATGGTTGACCTTTAAAAACATTTCTGCCTCAAACTGAATTCAATTCTTAACAGGGAAATATGTAGCATATAAGATGTACTTTAGTTCTTAAGGTTAACCTTAACACAAAAACAGCCTATACAATGGTAATAAAATCAAGATGCAAAACCAAACATGCAAGAAAATAATCATGGATGAATTTAAATGTGTTTAAAAGGCAATTCAATAAAGGTTCAGGCAACAAACAATATAAGCCCAAGTACTTGCTATATTCCTGGCATGGCCAAAGTAGGAGCTTCATATTTCTCATTTCTAATTCATATGAGGGGCTTTTTATGAATGAGGAGGAAGGCTCAGTAATAACAAGTGACCTGCACAGCTAATAATCCTATGCAAATCAAAACCACAATGAGGTACACGCCAGTCAGATGGCTGCTATCCAAAAGTCTACAAGCAATAAATGCTGGAGAGGGTGTGGAGAAAAGGGAACCCTCTTACACTGTTGGTGGGAAAGCAAACTAGTACAGCCACTATGGAGAACAGCGTGGAGATTCCTTAAAACTGGAAATAGAACTGCCATATGACCCAGCAATCCCACTCCTGGGCATACACACCGAGGAAACCAGATCTGAAAGAGACACGTGCACCCCAATGTTCATCGCAGCACTCTTTATAATAGCCAGGACATGGAAGCAACCTAGATGCCCATCAGCAGACGAATGGATAAGGAAGCTGTGGTACATATACACCATGGAATATTACTCAGCCATTAAAAAGAATACATTTGAATCATTTCCAAAGAGGTGGATGAAACTGGAGCCTATTATACAGAGTGAAGTAAGCCAAAAAGAAAAACACTGATACAGTATACTAACGCATATATACAGAATTTAGAAAGATGGTAACGATAACCCTGTATGCAAGACAGCAAGAGCCACAGATGTATTGAACAGTCTTTTGGACTCTGTGGGAGAGGGCGAGGCTGGGATGATATGAGAAAATGGCATTGAAACATGTAAATTATCATATATGAAATGAATCGCCAGTCCAGGTTCGATGCATGATACAGGGTGCTTGGGGCTGGTGCACTGGGATGACTCAGAGGGATGGGATGGGGAGGGAGCTGGGAGAGGGGTTCAGGATGGGGAACACATGTACACCCATGGCAGATTCAAGTCAATGTATGGCAAAACCAATACAATGTTGTAAAGTAAAATCAATAAATAATTTAAATTAAAAGAAAAAAAGATTTGGGGGCTTTCCTGACATGCCAGTGGTTAAGACTGTGCTGTCAATGCAGGGGGTGTGGGTTTGATCCCTGCTCAGGGAACTAAGATCCTACATGCCATGTGGTGTGGCCCAAAGATCAAAGGAAAAAAAAAAAAGTTTGAATGTCTTGAAAGCCCATGCTTTTTGCCACTGCATCAAGTAGTTACCAACCATATAAAGTTTATTACTTATTGAATATCCTCTGAAGTATTAAATGTATTACCTTTATGCTTTTATATTATTCTTACACTCTGAATTAGTATTGGTCTCATTTTACAAAGAGGTGACTGTGGATTACTGAGCTTAATCAACTTGTCCAGTGTTCAAAAACAAGCAAACAACACTGAAGATTCAGATTAGATTCTCTCTCTTTCTACCATACCATTGAGTCCAAGCATATAAAAAAATTAGAGAAGAAATAAAATAACTGCAGAAAGTACCATTACTGAATTCAGGATTAGGAAAGAGAATGGTATATATGCAATCCTTCAAGCTTGATTAAAATATTAAAATCATAAAAATTCCATAAAGGAAATGATCACAGGAAAAGAAAGTTCAGTAAATTCAATAAGGAAGAGAATGAAGATACTTGATTGGGAATAGGGTGCAGGAAGGTGGGTTAAGTCATCTTCTGTGGTACTGTAATTCTT